GACAGGTAGGGGAAACAGTATGATTTTCCCAATATTTTTTCGAGATTTTGACCTCAGTACCCCAATTTGGTTTCATACCATCATCAATTAACTAACTAATTGGTTTGTGGTTAAAAATTTCATCCAATCTGTCAAATGTGCGTTCAGAATTTTTCACATCTGAAAATGGGACAGAGTTTTGAAAATACAACTATTCGTTTTCTTAAGATTTCTGCTGTGAGCACCTGAAATCTAGGTTTTTGGTATGTTCAGGGTATTTGGCTAAATTGGGCCTAATTTGGACCAAATATGGGCGTGGCTCCCCCGCGGGCACCGTTTGGCGGTTGAGGTCCGGGACCCCCTCAAAAGTTCGGTCACCGGTCCTAGTTTGTAGGGTCCCTTTTATCTTTCGATCATAATTATAAAGCAAAATAAACAGTCGACTGAATACCTCAGAATAAGTCTGAGTACATAATTTTGAATCAATAATCAATAACAAAAAATATCAATAACAAAAAACACAATACAAGCGTTAGGGGTCGTTCACATGTTACGTAATCACTTTTTGGATAATTTGTTATCTCCCCTCCCCCCTCTGTAATCAGTTTTACACATAGCTTTTTGTAAAAATTACACTATCGTTATCATTTGGAAACTCCCCTACCCTTGGCTGATTACGTAATATCTGAACGACCCCTTACTGAAAACCTGTAAATATGAAATAAGAATACGTAATAAACATTCAGTAACACAAAGAAGAAATCCGAATTAAAAATGGTGGCGACATTCCAGTTACCATGGTAACATATAGTTACAATGGTAAAAAAATTCCAGCTGTGAAACAAAAAATCAGTTTTTAGCAAAAAGAGTGTCCAGTATGTACTAATGTGACATTTCTATACCTCAGCTGGCGTTCATAAACTTTTTCTCCCTTAATTGACACATGTCGTGCAAAAGCTTTGCAGTGGATTGTCGCAGAGAGTGGAACTCGTGTTGTGATAAATGTAACAATACGTCATCATCACCCTCTAGCTTCAAGTTAACTAGGATCTGAAATGTAACAGTATGTCATCATCACACTCTAGCTTCAAGTTAACCAGGATCTGAAATTTAACAATATGTCATCATCACCCTCTAGCTTCAAGTTAACTAGGATCTGAAATGTAACAGTATGTCATCATCACACTCTAGCTTCAAGTTAACCAGGATCTGAAATGTAACAATACGTCATCATCACCCTCTAGCTTCAAGTTAACTAGGATCTGAAATGTAACAGTATGTCATCATCACCTTCTAGCTTCAAGTTAACCAGGATCTGAAATGTAACAATACGTCATCATCACCCTCTAGCTTCAAGTTAACCAGGATCTGAAATGTAACAATACGTCATCATCACCTTCCAGCTTCAAGTTAACCAGGATCTGAAATGTAACAATACGTCATCATCACCTTCTAGCTTCAAGTTAACCAGGATCTGAAATGTAACAATACGTCATCATCACCTTCTAGCTTCAAGTTAACCAGGATCTGAAATGTAACAATACGTCATCATCACCCTCTAGCTTCAAGTTAACCAGGATCTGAAATGTAACAATACGTCATCATCACACTCTAGCTTCAAGTTAACCAGGATCTGAAATTTAACAATATGTCATCATCACCCTCTAGCTTCAAGTTAACCAGGATCTGAAATTTAACAATACGTCATCATCACCCTCTAGCTTCAAGTTAACCAGGATCTGTAATGTAACAATATGTCATCATCACCCTCTAGCTTCAAGTTAACCAGGATCTGAAATGTAACAATACGTCATCATCACCCTCTAGCTTCAAGTTAACCAGGATCTGAAATGTAACAATACGTCATCATCACCCTCTAGCTTCAAGTTAACCAGGATCTGAAATGTAACAGTACGTCATCATCACCCTCTAGCTTCAAGTTAACCAGGATCTGAAATTTAACAATACGTCATCATCACACTCTAGCTTCAAGTTAACCAGGATCTGAAATTTAACAATACGTCATCATCACACTCTAGCTTCAAGTTAACCAGGATCTGAAATTTAACAATACGTCATCATCACACTCTAGCTTCAAGTTAACCAGGATCTGAAATGTAACAATACGTCATCATCACACTCTAGCTTCAAGTTAACCAGGATCTGAAATGTAACAATACGTCATCATCACCTTCTAGCTTCAAGTTAACCAGGATCTGAAATGTAACAATACGTCATCATCACCCTCTAGCTTCAAGTTAACCAGGATCTGAAATTTAACAATACGTCATCATCACCTTCTAGCTTCAAGTTAACCAGGATATGTAATGTAACTACCCAGTACCCACCTCAGGATATGTAATGTAACTACCCAGTACCCACCTCAGGATATGTAATGTAACTACCCAGTACCCACCTCAGGATATGTAATGTAACTACCCAGTACCCACCTCAGGATATGTAATGTAACTACCCAGTACCCACCTCAGGATATGTAATGTAACTACCCAGTACCCACCTCAGGATATGTAATGTAACTACCCAGTACCCACCTCAGGATATGTAATGTAACTACCCAGTACCCACCTCAGGATATGTAATGTAACTACCCAGTACCCACCTCAGGATATGTAATGTAACTACCCAGTACCCACCTCAGGATATGTAATGTAACTACCCAGTACCCACCTCAGGATATGTAATGTAACTACCCAGTACCCACCTCAGGATATGTAATGTAACTACCCAGTACCCACCTCAGGATATGTAATGTAACTACCCAGTACCCACCTCAGGATATGTAATGTAACTACCCAGTACCCACCTCAGGATATGTAATGTAACTACCCAATACCCACCTCAGGATATGTAATGTAACTACCCAGTACCCACCTCAGGTTATGTAATGTAACTACCCAGTACCCACCTCAGGATATGTAATGTAACTACCCAGTACCCACCTCAGGATATGTAATGTAACTACCCAGTACCCACCTCAGGATATGTAATGTAACTACCCAGTACCCACCTCAGGATATGTAATGTAACTACCCAGTACCCACCTCAGGATATGTAATGTAACTACCCAGTACCCACCTCAGGATATGTAATGTAACTACCCAGTACCCACCTCAGGATATGTAATGTAACTACCCAGTACCTACCTCAGGATATGTAATGTAACTACCCAGTACCCACCTCAGGATATGTAATGTAACTACCCAGTACCCACCTCAGGATATGTAATGTAACTACCCAGTACCCACCTCAGGATATGTAATGTAACTACCCAGTACCCACCTCAGGATATGTAATGTAACTACCCAGTACCCACCTCAGGATATGTAATGTAACTACCCAGTACCCACCTCAGGATATGTAATGTAACTACCCAGTACCCACCTCAGGATATGTAATGTAACTACCCAGTACCCACCTCAGGATATGTAATGTAACTACCCAGTACCCACCTCAGGATATGTAATGTAACTACCCAGTACCCACCTCAGGATATGTAATGTAACTACCCAGTACCCACCTCAGGATATGTAATGTAACTACCCAGTACCCACCTCAGGATATGTAATGTAACTACCCAGTACCCACCTCAGGATATGTAATGTAACTACCCAGTACCCACCTCAGGATATGTAATGTAACTACCCAGTACCCACCTCAGGATATGTAATGTAACTACCCAGTACCCACCTCAGGATATGTAATGTAACTACCCAGTACCCACCTCAGGATATGTAATGTAACTACCCAGTACCCACCTCAGGATATGTAATGTAACTACCCAGTACCCACCTCAGGATATGTAATGTAACTACCCAGTACCCACCTCAGGATATGTAATGTAACTACCCAGTACCCACCTCAGGATATGTAATGTAACTACCCAGTACCCACCTCAGGATATGTAATGTAACTACCCAGTACCCACCTCAGGATATGTAATGTAACTACCCAGTACCCACCTCAGGATATGTAATGTAACTACCCAGTACCCACCTCAGGATATGTAATGTAACTACCCAGTACCCACCTCAGGATATGTAATGTAACTACCCAGTACCCACCTCAGGATATGTAATGTAACTACCCAGTACCCACCTCAGGATATGTAATGTAACTACCCAGTACCCACCTCAGGATATGTAATGTAACTACCCAGTACCCACCTCAGGATATGTAATGTAACTACCCAGTACCCACCTCAGGATATGTAATGTAACTACCCAGTACCCACCTCAGGATATGTAATGTAACTACCCAGTACCCACCTCAGGATATGTAATGTAACTACCCAGTACCCACCTCAGGATATGTAATGTAACTACCCAGTACCCACCTCAGGATATGTAATGTAACTACCCAGTACCCACCTCAGGATATGTAATGTAACTACCCAGTACCCACCTCAGGATATGTAATGTAACTACCCAGTACCCACCTCAGGATATGTAATGTAACTACCCAGTACCCACCTCAGGATATGTAATGTAACTACCCAGTACCCACCTCAGGATATGTAATGTAACTACCCAGTACCCACCTCAGGATATGTAATGTAACTACCCAGTACCCACCTCAGGATATGTAATGTAACTATAATGGCGCAGGAGGGTCAACCTGAAAAGAACATTGCTTGACCCTCCTGCCCCACCGCATGGATCAGGAGGTTCATTTCAGAAACAGTGCTTGACCCTCCTGCCCCACCACATGGATCAGGAGGTTCATTTCAGAAAAAACAGTGCTTGACCCTCCTGCCCCACCACATGGATCAGGAGGTTCATTTCAGAAAAAACAGTGCTTGACCCTCCTGCCCCACCACATGGATTACGGGGGTCATTTGAACCCACAAGACCATGTGCACTTATTTCTACATCGCGCGCGATACGTGAGTGCGTGATTACATGAAATCTTACCGCGCCCTACGCCAAGTAGACGAAAAGCGTGGTCGAAGAGCGAGAGTCGGTACAATAAATAAAACGAGAGTTGGTACATTTAACTGGCATTTTTTAACCGTGGTACAATCAGAATTGCATACAGCCGACACAGGATGAGGGGGGGGGGGGGCAATGACTACTGATGGAGACTTTTGAGCACCAATGGGGACGAAAATCATAGGGACTGAAGGTCAAATCGCTGGTGAAATTTTCCATTTGTCCCCATAAGTACCCAAAGTTTTGGCGAGTTTTATGTAGTTTTGATATTATCTTTTATTAAATGACTTCTAAAGGAGACTTTTGGGTACCAATGGGGGCTATAAATCTTGGAGACTTGAGGTTAAATTGCTGGCGAAATTCTGCACTTGTCCCCAAAGTACCCAAAGTCATTGGCTCCCCCCCCCCTCCCCCGGGTGAGGTGACGGAGAAAAATAAACTGAGCTCAAGGCTACATTTCCAGATATCCCGCCAGGGCACCGTCGCTCATGCTGCAAAGTGTGTTGAGAGATGCCCACGTCATCACACGTAAACTGTGTCACGAATACCTGAAATGCAGACGTGCATCAAGAACAAACATAACTCTGATCTATATTTTTCATAAAACTTTCAGGATTTGCCAATGAGGGAAAAGACAGCACTGTCCGAGAAGCTAGAAATGCATGAATCATAGGTGATATGGATAGGGGTAAGAAGTTTTTAAAGTAGTAGTAGTAAATCTTTCAAAGTACGAAATATCTCTTTAAAAGAGCATCCTAGGCACCTTATAGATATTAAAACGCATAAAAAAGAAAACAAAAACATCAACCATCTTCTAACTTCTTCCATTCCTCCCTATCTAAAGCCAAAAATCTAAGGTCTTCGAAATCAGTCAAATTCTTAAGTCTAATATCAAGATTTCTACTAGTCAAGTCTTTTCTAATAACATCTAATAAGTTTAAACATGGTCTACCCCGTCTCCCTTCCATAAAAATATCAGAATTTATAGAAGTTTTTAAAAAACATGAAAATTGTGAAAGGAAAAGAAGTAGAAATGAGAAAGGGTAGATTTAAAATGTTTGAGAATCGATTTTGTGCTGAAGAACTCCGTCCGCAGGACGG